CAGAGCTGAAGAAAACCGGCGAACAAAAACAGGCTCTTTTGCATCGCATGCAGAAAAAACTCCTGTTAGTGAGTCGGGAAAGAGACAGTTATCGATTGCAGCTCGATTCGTACGAAAAAGACTTAACAATGTCTATCGCCCCATCGTCGAATGCCAATTCGAGTCAGCTGCAAACTCAACGAGAGAGAATCGTTGCGTTGGAGAGAATTATAGAGAGCTACAAAGAGCTAAATGCAAAATTGGAGTCGGATTTGCAAAATAGTAATCCGGCTTTATATTCCGGTACGTTKATTGTTTGGTATTGASTGATGTTTGAAATATTTTTTTTTGTAGACAGTCCCAGTGGTAAAGCTGAGCAAATGGGGAAATTACAGGAAGAAAACGACCAACTCAAGATGGAAAATGAGATGTTGAAGCAGCGTCGAGATCAGCTTGAAATCCAATTGGAAAATTACCTTGTCGGCAATGACACTCTTCAAGGGGGCCAAGTTTATCATTTGGCGAATAATCCTCTAGCGGAGTGTTTGGCGGAAAGGGAGAAATTGGTCGAGAAACTGGAGTTGGAGGTGAATTTTCCCTTCTAGCCCAGTCAAATTAGACAAAAATAGGGAGATTGGTGAAAAAAAAATATTTTTATTTTTATTCTTGGGTAGACATATATCAAAAGTCCCCGAAGGTGGGGGGCTAGCTCGAGGAGGGGGAGGGGGCTAAAGGTGTCTTTTTTGTTTTTTTGCTTATATCCCGGAAACTATTACTCCTAACGGTTTTCGCTTGCTTATCAAAATTAAAGCCTACAAAATTTCCTACAAAAATGGTCCTTTGCATTTTTGTTGTAGGACTAACTGTAAGCGAGTTATAGAGCTGACAAAAAAACGTCATTTAAAAAATGTGCTTTATCCGCATTTAGAACAGAATTAATCTTGTGATTCGAATAAACTGAAAGCAAATTGAATTTATTGGGTGCAACACTTCATTAGAGAGTCTCTAAAGTCTTCCGAGTCGTCCTCATATGCTGCATCTTCGTCTTCAACTTAAACATTGAAAACCGAATTACAGTCTTGTTCAGTACAATATTAATAAATAGATGATTTAATATCGATGATTTGAATAAAGCTTACAGTAAAATGAATGTATTGGATATAACAGTTTATTAGAGGGTGCCACGAGGGTCTATCAAGTCTTCCGAGTCATCCTTATATGCTGAACTAGCATTTGTCTGCGATTTTGTCCGCGTGTATTTCTGATATAAAATGGGAAAAAGCCCGTTCACAAAACCCTTCCATAGGCTTAGGTACTCTATAAAGCTAGATAATTATCTATGTTATGTATAGGATTCAGTTATAGTAGTCTCGTTCTTCGCATGGGCTATGTTTATGGATAAATATTAAATGTTGATTTTCATAAAGTGTCGTCTCAGTGCACTTCTGCACTCTCAAAATTCGAAATTTCATGTTTCTAAATTTGTTTTTAAGCGTTTAAACTCTATTTTATTTCATTAAAATTAGAAAAGTGTACTTCTACACTCTCTAAGGATCATATTTTCTAAATTTAATGTTTTTATATCCCTTTAAATGTACACCGTTTTATTCCCTTAAAAACTAATTTTTGAAAAATCTGATTTTAGTGCCCCTTTACACCTCTTAAAGAATTTTATGTTTATATCTTTGTTTAAACATTTACACCCCATTTAACTCCCTTACAGATTGATTCTCTCTTTCATCCAAAATTTTTATTTATATCTCCGTTTAAATGTTTACACCCGAGTCACCTTTCAGACAGACCAGCTTAGTTGGAGACATATAAATACTTACCATATACTAATGAAATGTGTTTCAAAGGATTTTAAATGCAATTTTATGTAGACTCCAAACTTTTGAAGCCTACGGTTAGTCCTACGACAAAAATGAATAGGACCATTTTTGTAGGAAATTTTGATGCAAAAATAGACTTCTACAGAAAATTCTGCATAAATTACATAAACGATGAGTTTGTATTTATAGACCCTCGTGATCCCCCTTCCTTTAATGAAGTATTGGACCTAGTAAATTCAATTTACTCTCAGTTTTTTTTTTTTTAATTACAAGACTGATTCTGTTTTAAATGCAGATAAAGCACATTTTTTTAATGATGTTTCTTTTCTGTCTTATAACTCGCTTACGGTTAGTCCTACAACAAAAATACAAAGGACCATTTTTGTAGGAAATTTAAGCTTTAATTTTGCTACGAAGATAAAAATTTATAGGAGTGATAATTTCCGAGATATAAGCAAAAAACCAAAAAAGACACCTTTAACCCCCTCCTTCTCGAGCTCGCCCCCCACCTTCGGGGACTTTTGATATTGTCTACCCAAGTATAAAGAAAGCGTTTAAAAAAAATCCAACTCTAGGGTTTTTTTTCCACCGATTTGTCTAATTTGACTGGGCTATTCGGAATTATACGTTAATTTACAATATTACAGATTGAGAAGCTGAAAAGGAAGATAAAAGACATGGCCGAAGGAATCGAAGCCAGTAAGCTTAGCGAATCAGTGTGTCCACAAGAGGTTCAATCTTTAAAAGAACAAATCAAAACGCACGATGCGCAAACACAACGACTTAAAGAGTATTTTAAAACGTCGTTTCAAGAATTTCGCAATGTTATTTATATGTTGCTCGGTTATAAAATTGATAGGACACAAACGTCGTTGTATAAATTGACAAATATGTATGCTGAACGTTCCGAGGATCAGCTATGCTTCCAATTAAACAGCGAGGGCAATTTGAATTTGTTAGAAAACGAGTTTAGCTCAAGTCTTGAGCAAATGGTCAACTTGCATTTACACCACCAAAAGTCCATTCCGGTGTTTTTGAGCGCCCTCACGATAGATTTGTTCAATAACAGCACGATGGCGACTAAAACTTACGAAATTGAATAATTTAATTTCTTAATTTGACAGTTTTCGCTTAGGTAATAAAAACTCTAAAGGACAGAGTTGTTCATTGAAACCTTGCATGTCTCAAAGGTGTAGTAATAAAATAGTGGTTAAACAAGCACGACTTTATTCAAAAAATAATTTATTAACAAGTGTTTTCACGAATTAGGCACGAAAACAAATTGTAAAGATCACAATAAGAGAAAAACTTTTTGGTGTATCACAATGAGCACCAAAAATCGTAGCCTTACCTACTGATAAAATATAAATAAAAATAAATAAATTTGCCTAAAATTTGTGCTTATCACTGGAACAAGTTGAAAATGTCAACAATTGGCTAAAAACCTAATTAACTAAAATTTAATTAAACCAGTTAACCAAATATCGTGTTCAGCTGTTGAGTGCATCGAATAAACGTGGCCCGTTTGGGCAGCTCCTTCAATTTGGCCGCCCCGGTGTAGGTGCAGGCGCTTCGCAGCCCCCCTAATATGTCCAAAACGGTCGGTTCGACGTCCCCCCGATAAGGCACCTCGACGGTCTTCCCCTCCGACGTCCTGTACTCAGCTACGCCCCCTGTAACCCCAAAATCGTACACTAAGGGGCAAATTCACAACTACAACGGTTTAGGTTTAAATTAAGTGTTCCCCCGATACAATCACCGGAAAAAATGAAACGAATCCAACCCTTGAGGGGGCTAAACCGCGGACTTTTTGTAGGAAATTTAATTCTCTACAACTTTCTTTCTTACATTTCTTTTTGTATCTTTAATCTTATTCGCAGAATTTTGAAAAATTTGAGACGGAGGACAAATTTAAAATTTTTAATATTTGTTTCCCATGTTTCTCGTGAAAAAATTAGTAGGCAGTTTTTCCAGCCTATTAAGAACGTAAAGCTCAACATTTCTGCGTATTTTTCCAAGTAATTAGTAAACTGATTGAATTAAAATTAATTTAAAAGGATTTGGTATAACGCTAGAAGCGCCCTCATTTTTACTCTGTGTAAGTACTATACAGATGTCCCAAAAGTAAACCGCCATACGTCAACCACTGATAGAAAATGTCATTTTGAAAAAAAATAATAATTTTTTTCTTCATTCTTCATTCGTTAAAGAATTAAAAAAATTGCGAAATAATTGCGTTTCTAACTGAAAAACTACTAAAAATTGCAAAATTAATGTAATTTTCAACTTAATATGTTGATTTTTCAGTGCGTTTTAGCTAAATCTTGCAAAAAACCTTAGATTGTAGTATAAAAACGTGCTTATTTTTGCCTTATTTTGCTCAAATGAGTTAAATCGAGTGAAACAAACAAAATAACGTTAATTTCAATTGTTTTTGAGATTTTTAAGCGTGTTTGGACAAGATTTTGCAAATTAAATGAGCCTCTGGTTCAAAAACGAAGAAAGTCAAGCGAAACAAGCTAACAATATTATCAATTTCGATTTAGTTTTGTAATTTTTTTGTTTGCTTCAACGAAATTTTTAGAATTTTCTTTGTTTTCATTTCAAAAAGGTGTTTAAACACTTGAAAAACGCCGTTTTGGGTCGAATTGTTAAATTTTTGGATCGTTTTTAACGAAATTTTGCGATATAATCTTGCTTCTAGCTGAAAAAGTATTCGAAAAAGACAAAAAAAATAATTGGCATTTTCGATCCTGTGGTAAAATCTTGTAAAAAAACAAACTATTTTTAACCAATTTGGTGGTTTTTCGACTTTGTTGAAAAATCTTGACGAAATAATCAAGTTTCTGGTTGAAAACGTGGAAAATGCTCGAAAGACAATTTTTTTCATTTCCAAAAAATCACCAGATATTAGAATTTTTACAAAAGTTTTCATCAAATCACCAGACTAACATGAAAATCGCCAGATCTGGTGAAATTTCACCACACCTGGCAACACTGTTGAGAACACGGAATTTTGGATCATTCGATTGACATAAAAGTGTAAAACGGGCAAAAAAAAGTCGAAATTAATAATTAATCATTCGTCTGTTTTCTTATCATTCAGTTCGTGATAAAAATGTAAATAGTAGTTTTTTACTAGTTTGTAAAAAAACAAATTTTTTTTTATATAAAATAGCAACGATTATTGTCCCAGGGGGCAACGGCTCCCACTGCCACCCCCCACCCTGTGGGCGCCTATGAAAATACCGTTTACTTCATAAATTTTTTTGAAACTGTTTTTACAAGTCGTGATAAATTAAAAACGAACACATTTTTTGCTTAGCTTCAAGTCTGTTATTATCTTGTTATTATATTATGTACACAGTTGTTTCATAAATGTCAAAGTTCTTAATTTATTACGACCAAGTTGTATAAAATTCATTGATACTCTTTGCTAAACTGTAACTATTTAAAGAATGAAGATAGAGAAYAAATTAGTAAAACTTTTTTTCTCAGAATGATATTTTTTATCTCTGGTTGATTACTTTTGGGATACCCCCTGTATTTTTGCGAGCGATTTTGTAACATACCGGCGTGTTTTTGCATCGCTGTCTCCGAGGACATCCCATAGAATAATTTGAACTTTTTTCCATTGCGCTCGATGACTTCGCCTTCGCATTGGTCGTGACCAGAGAACATGCCCCCGGCCATGACGAAGTCAGCCCCAGCCCCGAACGCCTTGGCGACGTCGCCGGCGCACGTGCAGCCCCCGTCGGAAATGATGTGTCCCCCCAGGCCGTGGGCGGCGTCCGCGCACTCCAAAACCGCCGACAGTTGGGGGTAACCCACCCCGGTTTTGAGACGGGTGGTGCACATGGAGCCCGGGCCGATGCCCACTTTGATCAAATCGGCGCCCGAGAGGATGAGCTCCTCCACCATCTCGCCGGTGACGACGTTCCCAGCCTAGGAAAAAATAATTTATCCTTGATCTAAAGGTCATTGAATCGTATCTCGTGCCAAATTCGAGACGAAAATTATCTTGAGGTTACTTACGATAATCGTGTGGTTTGGAAACGCCGCCCGGACCTTCCGGACGTACTCTACAAAGTGTTGCGAATAYCCGTTGGCGACGTCTAGACAAATGAAAGAYATCCCTGGAATTGAGTTCAAAATTTGGCCCAATTTTTCAAAGTCGACGTCAGTCATTCCGGAGCTTGCAGCAACGTGAGGAAGACTTTTGGGGTTTTCATTTGCGAATTTTTTCCATTGTTCAACACTGTAGTACTTGTGAATGCAAGTGAAAAGTCCATGCTGCAATCAAACGATTAATTTTTAAGTGAGTAATTGAGTCGAGTGGTACTTTAGACAAGGCCTGGGCCATMTCAAAGGTCCCCACGGTGTCCATGTTCGAGGCCATGACGGGGACCCCATTGTAGGTCTGTTTCGAATTCCTGAACGTGATTTCTCGGAACAAATTGACCTGAAAACAGTGCCAAAAATAGCTTTAGAGGCCACAGTCAATTATGACGAAAATAGCTCAATGAAACTTTATTAGGACTTTTATAGCCCCACTTAACGATTTAATCAAATAAACTATCGACGAAACAAACAACTATCGATAAAACTGGCCTCACCCCTGACCCCAAACCAGCCAAGAGATACGAAAAATCCTTAACTATGAGAAGCCACAGCCCTCATAAAGCCCCACAACCAAAAAAATTCACACGTTCCATTTAAAAATGACCAAAAAAGACAAAATCGATACTTACATCACTGCGACTCTTCAAAGTCGATCTTTTCGGACGTAACATCACATCTTTGAAATCCAACTTGATTTCATAATTTATATTAGGCATTTTTTGTTAATTTCAATGACAACCACTATTTAACCACCTCGAGGATCCAACAAAAATAACTTTCAGCTGACTTTGGMTACGTCACTTTGACAAGTGATTTGAATGACAGCGCCGTATGGAAGTGGCCAACGCTACGAAACGTCTCGACCCCAATTACGTTTCAATTAGCAAAATTAGCACAAAAAGTGGGTTCATTAGCACGCAAAAATGCACACGTGCTAAAATAAATTGTCACACAAGCGTTATTTACACGACTGGACGTAAAATTAGTACTTATCGAAGTCACGTGACTGACGTAACCCAACCACTAATTTGTTTAAATTACGAAACTGAGTGAACAATAAATTATTTATTTGATCGTTGATGTACACAACATCTTAAAACTTATTTCAACACATCGATATTACAGCCTTGCCAGTTTTTTGGTACCAAAATCGCGGGAATAATTCTTTCGCCCCGTTTCACCGCCACTGGCACTTGATTTCCTTCCGAATGTTGAAAAACTCTCAAAAATTGCAAAATTAATGTAATTTTCTATTTAATATGTTGATTTTTCAGTCGTTTTAGCGAAATCTTGCGAAAAAACTTAGATTGTAGTACTAAAACGTGCTTATTTTTGTCTTATTTTGCAAACAAAATAACATCAATTTCAATTGTTTTTGGGATTTTTAAGCGTGTTTGGACAAGATTTTGCAAATTAAATGAGCCTCTGGTTCAAAAACAAAGTACCTAAGTCAAGCGAAACAAGCTAAAAATAATATCAATTTCGATTTAGTTTTGTAATTTTTTTTTGTCTGCTTCAACGAAATTTTTAAAATTTTCTTTGTTGTTATGTCAAAAAAACTTCAAAACGAAGTTTTTGGTCGAATTTGTTAAATTTTTGGATTGTTTTTAACGAAATGTTGGCCTATAATCGTGTTTCTAACTGAAAAAGTGTTCGAAAGACAAAAATTAATTCGCATTTTCGATCCTGTAGTAAAATCTTGTAAAAAAAAACAAACAGAAATATTTTAAACCAATTGGTTTTTTGAAAAATACTTGAAATAATCAAGTTTCTGGTTGAAAACGTGGAAAATGCTCGAAAAACAATTTTTTTCATTTCCAAAAAATCATCAGATATTAGAATTTTTACAAAAGTTTTCACCAAATCAACAGACTAACATGAAAATCACCAGATCTGGTGAAAGTTCACCACACCTGGCAACACTGTTGAGGACACGGAATTTTGGACCATTGTTTAACCAATTTGTTTAAATTGAAACCGAGTGAACAATAAATTATTTATTTGATCGTTGATGTACACAACATCTTAAAACTTATTTCAACACATCGATATTACAGCCTAGGAGTCCTTTGCCTTGCCACTTTTTTGGTACCAAAACCGCGGGAATAATTCTTTCGCCCCGTTTCACCTTCACTGGCACTTGATTTCCTTCCGAATGTTGAACAACTGTTGCAACATCTGAGAGATTCTTAAAATTGCTCGCGTTAATTGACCCAAACTCTACGATAAAGTCATTCGCGTGTAAACCCTAAAATTACCAGTTTTTTCTTTTTGTTACTCCACTCTTCAATTTACCGCAATTTCGGCCGGCGAATTGGGAGACACCATCGTGACTTTCGCAAAYGGGGCTTCATGTGTGACACTGTTGTGGTCGCTTCTCATTTCAATATCTTGCACACCAATTGACTGGTTACTGCTAGAACTGGAATAATAGCCCTGGAGGCCGTTCTCAATTTGTTTCATTATGTTTTTGTGGTCGTTTTGCAAACCTAAAAGTCAGTTTTTGAACAAGAAAACGCCAGTTTTTGTTTTACAAATAATGCGCTGTCTTGCGTGTCGCACTTGGTAAACGTCGATGGAATTGATGGGGAAGTCTTCGGAGTCGACCAAAGGGTCACTCATGCCCACCCCATTCTAAAATCAGAGCAGGACTTGACAAAAAGCAAAATTTTTGTCTCCCTACCATGGTTAGGATTTCCGTCAACTGTTTAATTTCGTCTTCTATTTTGTCTTTCTGCCTCATGAGGTTCAAGACGTGCTCTCTGATTTCTTGAGACATTTTTTATCCACTTATGATGACAAACAAATTTGTGGCTGTAAACAAATGTCAAAAAATGTCAAAATTTTTGACTTTTGACGGAAGTTGGAAGTGTCTCACATTACGCCAATTAACATAAACTAAAAACTACTTATTTATTTAATTGTTTTTATTTTTAATTAAAGAGGTACTTTAATTGGTTGTTATGAATCATTTGAAAATACTGATCGGTAAATATGTTGCTCAATAGCAACTCATTGAAATTATAGATGTCGCCATAGTAGTAATTTATGGTGGCCATGTGGATACATAATTTTTTGAATTGAATATTACGATTTTTTGCTTATTTTTGTCAACAATCGAGAAGATGGGGGAGCAGAAGAAGCCCCAGTTTGTGGATTTGGTTCGGACGATCAGTGACGGTGAGGAGATTGAGGATTTTTCAGAAGAATCCGATGCCGAAGTTGAGGTTAGATTTTCGTTTTTCTTTTCCACTATCAAAACTAATATTTTTGAACAGTTCCAGCCCACGAAACAGAAAAATAAACGAAAAGTGGACTTCGATACTGACTTCCAGTTTGTGAGTTCAGTCGAAGAGTACAATAAAGATTCGTGGAACGATTTAACAAAATACGTGAAACGGAAAGCAAAAACAAAAACTGACGATAAAATCAAGAAAGTGCTTCAAGCCGTGGAGGCCCCCCACGACGACTCCGACGTCTCTCTTTCCGACAGCGAGTTAAAACACGACAAAATCAAGGAAAAAGAAAAGAAGCGGAAGAAYGTCGAGGAATTTTTCGAGAGCGTTGATTTGGACACTGACCACGCCAGTTTCTACCAAATGAATTTATCCCGTCCTTTGCTTAAAGCCATCGGCGAGATGAAATTCGTCCACCCGACCCCAATTCAGGCCTCCACAATTCCCGTGGCGCTGCTGGGGCGCGACATTTGCGGTTGCGCTGCCACAGGCACCGGCAAAACCGCCGCCTACATGCTGCCGACCCTCGAGCGACTCTTGTACCGGCCGGCGGGGGGCACCCCTGTGACGCGCGTGCTGGTGTTGGTCCCCACCCGCGAACTGGGGGTGCAGGTGTACCAAGTCACTAGACAGTTGTCGCAGTTCACGGATATCCAGATCGGCTTGGCCGTGGGCGGTTTGGACTTGAAGGCCCAAGAGACCATCTTGCGCAAAAACCCCGATGTTGTGATCGCGACCCCCGGCCGCCTCATCGACCACCTCAAAGGCACCCCCACGTTCGGCTTGGACTCGATCGAAGTCCTGATTTTGGACGAGGCCGACCGCATGCTGGACGAGTACTTCGCCGAGCAGATGAAGGAAATCATCAAACAGTGTTCGAGGACGCGCCAAACGATGCTTTTCTCGGCCACGATGACCGAGGAGGTGGAGAGTTTGGCGGCGGTTAGTTTGGTTAAACCGGTTCGGTTATTCGTTGATAGTAACCGGGAGGTGGCGTTCGGGCTCCGCCAGGAGTTCCTTCGGATCCGGAAAGACCGCGAGGGGGACCGCGAGGCCATCCTCGCGGCGCTTGTGTGTCGCACATTCCGCGAGCATTGCATGGTTTTCGTCCAAACCAAGAGACAGGCCCATCGATTGCACATTTTGCTGGGGCTGTTGGGGCTCAAAGTCGGGGAATTGCACGGGAATTTGACCCAGCCGCAGCGTCTAGACGCCTTGCAGAAGTTCAAGGACAAACAGGTCGATATTCTAGTGGCCACTGACGTGGCCGCCCGAGGGTTGGATATACAGGGTGTTCAAACTGTGATCAACTTTGTGATGCCGGTCACCGTCGAGCATTACATTCACAGGGTGGGGCGCACGGCGCGAGCGGGGCGCGCGGGGGTCTCGGTGAGTCTAGCTGGGGAACAAGAACGGAAAATTGTCAAAGATGTGGTGAAAAAAGCGAAAAATCCCGTCAAAAGTCGGGTGATCCCCCCGGATATTCTAGAGAAATACAAGAACAAATTGGAGAAACTTGAGCCTCAAATCGCGCTGATTTTGCAAGAGGAGTATGAGGAGAGACAGTTGGCAAAAGTGGAAAATCAGGTGAATAAGGCCGAGAGATTGCTCAAGGGGGAGAAAAATCCGGCGAGGCCTTGGTTCCAAACGAAGAAACAAAGAGGGGAGGAGAAAGAACGACTCAGTTTGAAGAATACCCCGAAAAAGACTGACAAAGGCAAGAAGAAGAATAAAAAAGGGGCGAAAGAGACCCCCGAAGAACGTGTCCAAAGTGAAGTGGACAAAGTTGCTCTGCTTCAAGCCAAATTAGCGAAAAAGAAGCAAAAATTGAAGAAGATTAACGCCGTTGTGGAGAGCGAAGTGGGTCGAAAAGGTGGCGTTAAACGGAAGAAGACGAACTTTGGCGATGATCTGTGGAACACGAAAAATGCGAAAAAGTTGCGACACGAAGCGAAGAAAGGGAAACAAAAAGGGAAAGTGTTCGGAAGGCCGCAACAGAAGAAACGACGTTGAACTGTGGAATAAAAGGCTTTGTATTGTTGAAATATTTATTTTAAACTGGAATTATAAAATAAGAACGAAAATAAAAAAATAATAAAGGAAGGTGGTGTTGTGTGTGTGTGCAAAATAAAAACGAATAGGATATAAATATTAAGATATTTCTATTTAACAATGCATAGTTTATAATCATCAACCTTTCCACAAATCTACAATTAAGAACATTACAAGTCATTGTATTTTACGTAAAGAAACAAGAAACATATCCTACAAGGCTTTGTGGTATAAATAATAATTAAAAAATCAATAATAATAAAAGAAAAACAGATACAACTAAGCTAAAAGTAAACAATATGTCAACAACTTTACAATAATCATACAATGTACATACAATCGTGAGATATTTGATGTTTTTCTACGTAAAATGCAAACAATAGTAAAGAATAGTATGTATTATGTATTATATATGCGTTAGCTCGTATGGAAAATACCACATTATATTACATTTATATAAACGGGTGTGACTTTGTGACACTGCTTTCTCTCTTTTTTCCTCTCTTCTATTTACAATAATTGATCCTAGCTATTTACAATATTATAGTGGGTATATCACAATCTGTACAGTAACGGTGACATGGCTGTGGCTGCTGTTTTATTTTTTTTTATTTTTCAAAATATAGGTGTTCAAGGCTGGGGCTGCAGTATGGGCACTGTTACGTATGGGGGCCTATTGAGAGGCTCTGTTTCTAGTAATTGGAGACCGTCGGATGGACGGCCACTCTGATACTGTCACTTTACCTCTTTCTTGCGTTTGCTGTCGCCCTCCGACACTGCAACAAAAATTAAAATTAGCAAAAAATTTCTAATCAAAGACACAACACTTACCAGCACTCCTGGTCTTCCTCCTCAGTGCTTCTGAATCCACCCCGACTTTATCCCCTTTACTCCTCGTATTCGGCGCCGGAATCGCTGTCCTAACCGACCTTCTCGTCGTCACTGCAACCCCCTTGACCCCATTCCCACTTTTGGCTTTTTTTCCCCCCACACTATTCGCCGTCGCCGTCTTTCTGACTTTTTCTATCAACGGCTCATCACTATCCGAACTCTCATCTTGCGACTTTCCCGTCTTTTTAACATTATTCGCTTTCGTCGCTTCGACACCAATGCACGCCTTGATCAATTCGACCGCATTTTCAGAGCATTTCCTCGTCTTTTTGCTTCGCGCATCCTCTATACTATTGTTGGAACTGTCCGATTCGTGTCGTTTCCTTTTCGCGGCAGGCGTCGCGACGCGATTCGATTTGATCGCCGCCGAAACCGGCGAATTCAATTCGGGACTGCTCAACTTCGAGAGGGCTCTTGTTCGGACCGAACGCGTCGCCGGACTCGGCGAACTCGGCGTTTGATTATCCGGAATCTCAATAAGGAGCTGTTCGAGGAGACTTTTCGTTTTGTGGATATTAGAACATGAATTGCTGTCTTCGTCAGACATTGTTGGACTCTCGGATCCGCGCCCTTTATCCGGATTCGAATAAGTATAGAGAGGCGGCGTTACTCGGACCGGAAGCGGCTCCAAATCATCTTCTTTCGTCTTTGTCTTGACCGGAACCTAAAACAAACTATAAGTACTGATTTTTGATTGTGACCGGAAACGTACCAGACTGACTTCCGCCGGCTGGAGTGGTTCTTTCACCGCAAGAGGACTCGTCGGGTTGACCGATGACAGACTGACAGCCCCCTGTTTGAGACTATCTTGCAGTGCCGACGTCAATTCACAACATTGGCCCAACTGTTTCGGTTGGTTCTCGTTCATGTCTTCAACGCCGTTCAAACCTTCCATTTTTGCCAATTGGGCTTCAATGTCGAGCATGTGAGGCATGTCAGGCACTTGTGTTTTTGATTTGATTGGTTCGGGAATGTCGGCGTGTGGACTTTGGCTGGCCTGATTCGGCGATTTCTCGCTTAAAGCGTCCATACTTTCGATGCCACTGTCTTCACCTTGGGCGCCCGAATTCGGCGAACGGCCCGCCTGTTTGTCGCCCAAATCGCCCTGTTTGCGATCAGGAGTGTTGCACTTGTCCGGCTCGGGGGATTTCTCCTTCAAGGGGGGCGGTTCCGACTCCACCTTTATAATCTAAACCAGAAAAAATGTTAATACAGGGTGTTTCACATAACTTTACGAGGCTTTCGCCTAATGTACGCACCCAAATATACAAAAGTCACAGAACACTGGATACAAAAAATACAAATTTAATTATTTAATTTTTGGAAACCCATGACAGTAGTTGGCAAACTAAACACTGTTTCATTAATAGTCATAAACTGCAGTTTTTCAGAAACAATTATCATTTARTCTATCAAGAGACGGCATGAATATGATTGTAGTTCATRTATCTTAATCATTAACTAACTAAAAACGTAATTTTTTAAAGGGTGAACAAACTAGAGAAGATTATTCAATTTTTCAAAATTTGCAATCGAGTTCGTATCGGAATATGTATTATCGATTGCATCTTACAGGCGCAGGCCTCGTAAAATTACGTGAAACACCCTGTATTGTTAATAATCCTAACCTCAATCTTCCCTAAAATTATTTTCTCAAATAAATGTGTACCCTATATAGCAAAAAAATAATTACAATTAACAACGTAATTATCATAAGGGTGACAAACAATAATTTTTGACATTATTGATGTGATTAAATTTGTTTGAAATGACATTAATGACGAATCGGCCTTTAAATTAAAGATGCATTTAGACTTCTACAACCCACTTCATGTACATTAATATGAAAAATAGAATAGTTTGAAGTAAAAAACGCCAAAAATCTTTTCTTTTTTTAATGATCTAATGAAATAATTTTTCAAATAAGCTAACGAAAATTATTAAATCTAAAATATTTTTTTTTAATTTTTCAATTAGGACGCCAATTTATGTTCTTATCAGTGTTCTTGAACCAATTCTATTTCGAATTTGATCTCAGCCAAATTTTAATTAATTCTTGTTACGTTAATCATTTTTTTTTCTTTTTTATCGCAACTTTTTTGTTAACTGAAATCACGTGCTTGTGATTTCTAAACGTAATTAATCGCATGTTTAGAATACAGTAGAGTTTAGTAATTATTGCAAAAAATTAATTGTACAAAAATGCTCGTTATCAAAATAACATTTTCTTAAAGATTTTTGTTACCGTTCCTAATTACCTTAAAAAGCCCAACTTCAATCCTTTTTGATCGCGCTGTAGAATAACAAAGTGTTGATAGAATCATAATTATTCATCATAAAAAAAAACTTTTTTTTGGGAGTCTAGAGAAATATTCCAAAATTACTATACAAACCGCATATCCTTAAAAGCTTATCAAAAATGGTATGAATACGTAAAAACCAATACAGGGTGTTATTCAACTTTTTGCGTTTGCACACCCTGTAAAGTGAGTGCTTGATGTGCAAGCTATTCCGAGTTTTTGTTTTACAATTTTTTCGGAAAATATTCGTAGCCGACTATGATTTTTGATGTAGGTTTTTTTATACCAGGTGAATAAAAAGTATGGAACCAAACGTTTTTTGCTTAAACTTTTTATTTTTTGGAAAAACTAATTAAGAATGATGAAGTATTTTAAAAATGTGATATTTTAGAAAGAATAATTTTTTTTTGTTTTAGAATTCTACAATTTTTTTTATTTTTTTAAATAGCAACGCACTATAAAACCATTTTTCCCATGAAGGTTGTGATATAAGAATTACAACTGTCTACTTTATTATTTAATTTTTTCAAATCTTTTTACATAAGTTGCAATTTATTTAACGATCACATTTTTTATATCACTTTAACTTATATTTTCTGGAAACAAATGATTTAAAAAAAACCGCTTGGTTCCATACTTTATATTCACCCTGTATAACAAAAAGTTGAATAATTTCGAAACGGAAAAAGATAGACCTAAAATAGTTTACACAAAGTACCATAATTTTTTTACGTAGAAACTAAGAATATACAGATGCGCCAGAACTCGCGCCCCAGAGAAAATTTTCCAGTAATCTAAGATACCAGGAACATACAAAATTCTGTCAAAAAATTTTGACATTTATTTTTTGGCATTTGACATTTTTTTATATCTATTTAATGATAATTTTTGCCAATAAAAGCCACAAATAACATTGAACAGAGTTACAATTTAGGATACAGTTTCTTTGTTTCCTCTTTTAATAGCCTATAGCAAAAAAACTTTGAAAATCATTTTTAAATAGAGTCAAAGTGCAAACTTTAAACCCTCATAACTTTGAAATTTTTATAGATAATTTTTTTTTTAACATTTTTTCCATGCTCCTGGTATCTTACCTTATATGACATTTTTCTCTGGGGCGAGAGTTTTGGCGCACCCTGTATAGGTGATATTTAAAAAGTATAACTTTGGTTCACCACTTTGTGTACAACACCTTGCATATAACAAGAATATTTTTAACTCTAAGTAGATCTCGCGGATGTTCAAAACGGCATGTCAATATATCAAATAACAAAAAAGTTATGGACCGATTACACAACCCTGGGTCAGCCTGTATGTAGTTTTTTTTATCCAGTTTTTGTAATAATAAATAATAAACGTATTTTTATATTTAAAACAAGCATTATAAGCTGAATTCCATTGTATTTAAATTAATTCATTAACGTTAATAACAATCAATTCAAGTAAAAAATAATTTAATTTGACTGTGGTAACCTTTTTAAAGTTTTTTTTTAATACAATTAACATTACATTTCAAAATTTTAAGCTTCGATGAACGTAGTCAAACCGGATTTTCTCATTTATAAATTTTTTCATAACAAGCAAAATATTTCGACAATATTTTTAATTTTATTAAAACGAAAACAAGTAACGTTTAAAAACGTCATTTTGTACGCCAAAACTAAAAAAAAAATAAAAAGCTTTCTAATCGGAAACCTTCCTTATCAGTAAAAACAAACAAATCAACCTGTTCTCCCAACCCACTCGATTTTTCCATTTATCGCACGTGACAAATCTTCCAATCGATCCTCACCTGATCAGCCTTTTCGTTTTTCTTATTCTCCGCAACGATTTCATGTACATTTTCTGTCCGATGCGGTGGCCTGGGAATCCCCTTTTCCGTTCCTTCCATCATACTCTGCTTAAACTTCGCCCCCATATCGATCTCACCCGTCGGCAACGCCACCTGTTTCGTAAACTTTTCACCCAAACTCTTACTAAAACTCTTTGTCCTGACTACATCTTTGCTCTTGAACATCTCRTTGACTTTGCTCTTGTCTTTRCGCGATTTTTGCGGTAGACTCGCAATTGTTCCGATATTGGTTGAGCCCAAAATCGGCGGTTCTGATTCGAGACCCGGTTCGGACTGACTCAACCGCCGCTTCTTCTCCACGGAAGTAATTCCATTACTATCGACAAATTTGAGATTGGCGCGAGTCAATTCCGAGTCGCTTCCTCTTCGCTCCTTCTGTTTCTCTTTGTAATTGTTATGAATGACGAGTTTGGAGATAAGATCCGAATCGTGGATATGATTCGACTTGAATTTCTTCTTCTTGTCGTCGGTCTCTTCATTTATTGCACTATGTGGATCGGTGATTTTCTTCACCTGGTTTTTACGCATTTTCGCCTTGTCCGAATTGAGTTTCTTCTTCTTGTTGGTGATGAAAGCGTGATGACGGCCACGTAACGAGATGTGTAAAGGGGGCACTCGGAGTTCTTCGCCCGGTGATGAAGCTACGACGGACGTGGACGCCTTCTTTGGCTGTTGAATGAAACTAACGTCGACTTTATACGCCGAATTAATCGGTTCGGATTTTTCCAATTTGAGTCGAAGTTTGATTTTCTCCGTCGGTTTTAGATTCGGAGAGTCGCGGCCTCGATCTCGGGCCGTTTTCGATTTGATTCGCGAATGTTTGCCACTGTCACTATGCGAGGAACGCGTTTCACTGTCACTTTGATCCGTCGTGTCCGGTCGAATCGTCGAATTGGTGTCTTCGTCGGAAAGGGCAGCCGGAGATGGTAGTCCGGTGAAGACGTCCCCCAGGTCCTCGGTGTCGCTCTCACCGCTCGATTGTGGCTCCAACTCCCCCGTTAGAGGATTGATGAGAAAGTTCCGTTTGTCATCCGAATGGGTTAACTCCTCTGGGATTTCCGGCGGACTCCGGGCGAGATCGCGTTCCAGAGTCGGCAGTAGATGTTCCAAATCGTCGGCTTTCAAGTCGGTAAGCGAGGGAGTTAAGTCCATGAATGGCGATGTTTGTACTACAGAGTCCCATTGGCGGTTGACCGCCACCGAGTAGGGAGGCGGCGGAGGCAGATGAGTCGTCGCCGTGTTATTGGGATACGGTGGTAGAGTAATTGTACTGTTCGGTTTACTATTTTGCCTAATGGAAGTATTTGATAAGGCGCTTGGTGATGACGTGTTTGCCTGAGGTTTGGTGTTCTTCTGCACTGGCACCGTCCTATTGGCCACAATAGTTCGAGGCAAGTTCGGCTTTTGCACAAACGAATTCACCGTCCTGTTAGCTTTCACTGCACTTGTCACTGGAGTATCTGTCGTTTTCGGAGACGTTGCTCCATCATTCTGTAGCAGATTCACAAGAAGGGGGCTGGAGATAGTCACTGCGGGGTGTTTTCCAGGATAGGGGGGCGGTGGAGTGACGTAATTCCCTTGACTGTGGATCGCCTGATTCATGCTGGTGAAGGGAAACGGTCCCCCGTAGCCCTTCGTGGTCGGAGGCGTGCTGCTAACCGTCGCTGCCACACTGACGGGCACTTTGGGTACCACACTGTCGGCGGGACACACCACGTTGGGTGATTTGAACTGCACCTTTTCTGGTTCGGCGGCGGGCGCCAAGAATCGGGATAGGGGACCTTCAACTTGACTGCTGCCGCTGCTGCCATCTGAAATCAATGCTGTTATAACCTCAAAAGTGGAGGAGAACGTGGGGGTACCTTGAGCGGTTTGGAGCCGGATTTCTTGGGGCTCCGCGTTGACGGAGTTGGCGATGCGCAAGGAGATGACTTGATCGCCCTCCACTTGCACACTGAGGATCCCCAGATTCCGGAGCTGGGCCGAGCCCTCGCTGGCCAGCTTCCTGAGACGTAACGCTGCTTCCCGAGGAATAGACAGCGTTACACGCACTGAATTCCAGGGCTCCAGCTTGTGTACTTTGACGACGTCTCCCAGAATACCGTTCAGTTTGCCGACGACAGAGTTGAAGCGATTTGCGAAGTCAGGGTCTGATAGATTGCCTTCGCATGTGACTATTGTCGTTAAATCGCAGCCATCACTGTCTGCTGCCATCTAAAATCGGCAAAGTTACACTCAGAGGCCCCATCTCTTCGCCGACTTACCCTTGGTGGGAGTCACATTCCGATTATCGAAGTTTTTACATCAACCTAAAACCCAAATAAGCCCCATGAGAAAAGCCCGCAAAAAGCGGCGTAAATCAAGCAGCCACCGTTTTCAAAAATTATCGAAATAAAAGATGGATATGGTCGCAGCCATCTTGTGTGCTGGACGGGGGAGTGTTATTACATGTGTTCGAACGGAAAATCCGGCCCGGAAGAGGGCCAAACGGGGCTGCGACCCCCACGAGTCGCCCCCAAACGCTCATGTGCGGAGTTGGGGGCGCCAACGTGGGGGTTTTCGGGACGGAAATTGATTTGCTTACGGGCACACAATATTACATACCCGATTCTCTGTGACATACTTTTGACACTCAAAAAGCCAATCCAGCCGGAAAGTTCTCCTCTGCACTTGTACTAGTATACTTTAGGATCACTAATTTGCAAGAAGGCTTTTAAAAACTTCATAAAAACACTCATAATCCTTAAAGAAATTATTAAACGCTTTCAACAATAACAACTCGACGCCATTCGAGATGCGCTCACTAGATGCGCACATTGCCAAAATCGAACAACCGTGGAATATTTTGACAGATGACAACGGAAAGTTTCACCAAAAATATCAATTTTCGCCCAAATTAACAGAAACAACGCAAACTTTACGACACTTTTATTTTCAAATAAACAAAATTTAACCTACAATCTCATTTCAGATCTAACTGTTCACTGCCAACCCTCTAATGGTCAGGCTCGCAAGAGTCAAACAATCCCTTGTTCCTGATCCTGTTGAACTCCTTGTTAATATCGTAATTCCTGCAAAATAATCGATAAAACCACTCATTACGTTCAAGCTCTCAAATACTTGTAAAACTCGGCGTAGACTTGTTTACGATGGTCATTAACGAATATTTTTTGAGCGACGGCAGCCGTAATGCACATTCCAATCGCCACAATCAAGTTTCTTTTTATCTGATTGTGCAAAAGACCGCGCAATTGGGGCTTTGCAGCTTTGCTGACGCTGTCGGACATCGTACCTAAAAAATATCACATTAGCATGACTATTACATAATATCGATTACCCAACGTCAAAAAACTGCAACATTTTAAACCTAAACCATATCAAAGCTTGATAAATTCAATAAAAACACAGACCAATCAATTTCAGTACCTTAATTGTTGTTAATTTCTTTTTAAAAGGACAATTTCACTTGCTGGGCAGCAAACTGTCAATCAACTGACGGATAAATTCACAAAGATTTCTGTTTTACCGGTAGATACAACGGAAGCGCGGAAGCTTTTTTGTGTAATTGATTAAAAAATATAAATATCTTTTAAATTCATCATTTTCGATACGTCTCGTCTTTTATTTTTGAAAATAATTTTTTAATAAGTGATTATTTATTACTGATCGGCATAATTACCGGAAGCAGATGTCAACCGGAAGTGGCGGTATTAGTCAAAGTAACTGAATTTCACTTTTTTAGTGATAAGAGTGATAAGATTAAACATTAAAAAAAAATCAGCGGTTTTATTAAATATTTGTTCTCTTTTTATTCCGGGTATTATATTCCTGAATTTGGCGCCAAATTCGCCGACAAAGAACAGCTGTAATGATAACATGATGTAAATAACTATAAATAAATAAAGATTACGTTTTACCTTCGTACATCGTGTTCTAAAACCTTGTTTTAGTATTGTAAAAATTTAATGATTTTAAAATAAAAAAAATAATTTTGTACAAACAGCTAACTTCACTACTGTTACTGTTTAACACTTGTCAAATTCAATGTCAGTGTTTATCTCAAGACAATAACATGTTAAGTAAGAAAATGTAGAAAACAGTGGAGAACACTTGATAAGATAACGGAGATTTCTCAGAGGACCCCTCCAACTGTGATTTTATTAGATGTCAGTGTCTCAGTTGGCAGCAAAAAAGCCAAAGCAAGTACCCCTTCAACTCGCTTATTCTGATCAAATTGTTTGAATATTCCCCAGAATGGCCGAAGAAATCAAGCATTTGCCCATGATCGTCCCTTTGCCGCTCCCCGAGGAGCAGCTCAAAGAAATAGTGGAGAAATCCAAAGACTGGGCTTTGATGCATGGGGCTGCCATGCGGTCCAAAACGCAGTTCTCCGAGGACGCCCTCTTCTTCGCCCCCTTCGTCCTGATCCCGTCGGCCTTCCCCCGCAAGGAGTTCGCCAAAGCGCTCGAAATCCAGTTGATTTTGAACGAGTTGATGCACAAGGTGGCCCACGACCGGCGCTTCCTCACCGAGAGCCTCAAGGAGACGATCAAAGTGGACGAGTTCACGGGGAACCTCTTCAGGATCTACGAGACGGTGCTCGGCGAGGGGCTCACACAGGTGATACATTAATTTGGATAGATTTTGGCTTGAGCACAAGGCCCCACTGTTGTATATTAGCCGATTAGTTTGGGTATGGTTCGGTCAGATTTGATGTTGGAGGGATCATGTAAAAATCACGCGCCATCCTCCACGCCGTACTGCTGCTGGAAGCAGGTCGAGTTCAACACTATTGCTTCAGGTTTCGGCTGGCTGGGGCCGTCTTCAGGGGCGATCCAGAGGTAAAGGCGAGAGGCCTCTGTGTGGTGCGCGCTTGCGTTTTCGGGGCAAATGAATGCAATAATGAAGGTCGAGCGTGTTTGATTTTTTTTTTCTTTTTTTCTCTCCCCCCTGTAGATATTGTATATAGTTGCGGCGTGTGAAAGTCATGTCTTGCATTTCTGGATTTGATTTCAGCGAACCACTTTGGGACTGCTACGATCTGATTACATGGTGAATGCCTCGTCGACTGACAAAATTAAACAAGTCGAAATAAATACGATTGCCTCGAGCTTCGGAGGCATCGGCACAAACATTACGGTATTCCATAGGTACGATTTTTATTGTATCAGTAGTGCATACACCTTTTTTTGTTTATTAATCGATTATATAACATTTTTCTTTAATTCATTGTACACGTGTTGCATGCGAGCATTCTACTAACATCTAATTTTATTTTATGCACTAATTTCTTATGCAAATATCCTTCATTATTTCATTCATTTTAAGTTTTCAATGTTGCTCAGTTTCGTTAAAAAAGGGTCACTATTGCAAAAACTGGACGAAAAACCGAATCTGCTTTTGTTTTGAAATATTATTGTACTTAAATTGCGTCAATTGTTTATCACTTTTTTTGTTATTTCGAAAGTCAAGTACATGTCTTTTCAATTACTTTTTGAAAGTTAAGGAAAAAACACTTACTGAGACTATTACATAAGTCAAGATGTCTATCGACACATTGTTTTTCAGGACGAATGATTAGATTAGATAAGACCAATGACCGGATTTATGCAATTGTTTTATAGTTTAATGATTCTTGCATTTGTTTTGATACGATTGCTCATTTTTTTAGAAACTTGTTTATCTGCTAAGACTTATTCATGAATTAATGAAATTAATAATGGTATTAATAATTAATAAGGCTCGGATTATATGCACGAAAAATTCGTAAAATATGCGCATATACATATTTCACAAAAATATTCACAAGATATTAAAAAATATGCTCCAATATATGCCAAATATGCATCAATATGCAAAACTTTTAACAATAAAAAATTAAAGTTGAGATAAATTTTTATTTTCGAGTACACTAAACTTTGCATTTTTGGTTTCTTGAACTGCACGAAACGAAAGAGAATAAATAAATTGGTTTTGCCTCAGACAAGCCATTTTAATCGCCTAGTAATTAAGCCTTTTTAAGAAATTTGTACTTTTCATTTTTCTCATGAAGGTCATGATCTAAAGGATTACAACTATCTACTTTATATAAAATTATTTTTTTTTATATAAATAGCAATTTTGCCAACAAAAATCGAACAACTCGAAAACAAAGCAAAATTTTGTTCTTAATTTTTTTTTATATTACTTTAATTTATGTTAATTATAATTTTTTTGAAAACAAATGATTTAAAAAAAAAACGCTTGTTTTGATACCTTATAACACGAATTTAAAAGGGAAACACTCAGCAGGATACTAATTTTTTTGAATCAGGCTTACGAATTACCGGTTGTTTTCTCTTTAAAATATTTTGTAATCGGATCATTTTTCTTAAACTATACAATTTTTTACTTGAACTGAAATTTTTAATCGGAAATTTGTGATTTGAAGAAAATATGCACAAATATGCAATATTTCCTAAAATATGCACGAAGTTGCCAAAATATGCAAAATATGCATTTTTTATTTGGCTTATTTTAATCAAAAAACATTAAATATGCATAGAAAACTTACAATTTTGTTGATATACCTCTTAATAACAAATATGCATTTTGCATATAATCCGAGCCTTAATAATTAATAATTAATTAATAAAATTCCTTCAAACTTGGAGGCTAGATAGCCGATTGAAGACAAGTTTTAAGTAAAAAATCTGGTGTGAACATCACACGAATTTCCTTATCCTACTTATTTGGAAAACATCCTTACGACAATAATTTAGTGTTGTAAATCCGAGTAGCAAACTTAACGTTTGAGTTAGTGCCACCTGCCGGATTACACGCGAAATAGATAATAGTTGTCGCGGGTTCGAGTCTGGGGTGCAATTTTTTTTAGTTTGGTACCCATTATTATTTCTATTTTATCACATTTTACTGTTAATTAAGGTATATTTCATGATTCTAATAATTTTTATCCCCATGAATTTATTGTATCAACGGTGCGACCGATTTTTACCAATTAAATTCAATCACTTCACTAATTGCTTGGAAAAAATGCAAAAATGTTGAGTTTTAGATTCTTAATACGCTGTGAAAACTGCCAACTAATTTTTTGACGAGAAACATGAGAAAAAAATATTTAAAATTTGTGCTCTGTCTCATATTATTCAAAATGTTGCGAATACGGTTAAAGATACAAAAAAGATGTAAGAAAGAAAGTTGTAGAGAATTAAATTTCCTACAAAGTCTGCGATATTATATCTCTACCTTTGAGGGTTTAGACTCCAAAGACGTTCATTTATTGCTTCTAAAACTTAGAAAATGGAACTATAGAGGACATTTTATTTGCATATTAGTTGATGTGGTCAAATCCTTTGGATTAGCGCATTTGCACCGTAGAGCAATTGTGCTGTAGAGCCTTCGTAGAGTATTAGTAGAGGTCAGGAAATCGTAGAAGGATATCGATAGGCGGAGCCAATGCATATTCAGTGTAGTGGGGAAACTTGAGCAGTGGCGTAACACAGATTCATTCTGTGGTAAAAAGGGATTCCAGAGTTGCATTTTTTCACGTCCGTTAATAAAAATCATGAACTCTCCACTTCAAAAACAGCTTTTTATTTTATAACACTCGATATTAAATGTACAATTAACTAATATAATCCATTTCATTGAAATTAGCATATCAGTAGGCCGTGATTGTGTAATTCGCGCTTTAAATGTGAAAAAAGAGTTACATATTAAGGAACTAAATTTGTCACTAAAAAAAGTGAGGTTAAGACAGTTAAAATTTTATTTTTAAAGAACCCTGTTTTAGAGGTTTCCAGAGAGAGTTTTTTTCTTAAAAAGTTTAACACTCTGTTTCATCCCTTTGTAGGTGTAGTTTTAACCAAAAACATACACTATTTGCTTTCGAGAAAATAATTTAGCTTTATTAAATTGGTATATTTGATTCCATTAATCTACAACACGAGCAAAAAAAAATTATTATGTCACTTACCATGTAGGTAAGTAATTAAAGAAAATCAAAAACCACATTTGCTGTTATACCAGAGACATGCGCATGGCTACAAACTTAAATATGAAATTTCATAGCCAACCATTATGCCAATTTCAATGAAATCTACTATACAAGGAACTACACTAAGAACTAAAATGCAAAATTAATGCGTTTTAATTTATGACAA